CAACCCCAACCCTCTTAGCCTGTTGTCATAAGGAGAGTGCTCCAGCCCGCTGATTATCTTTGTGGCCATCCTCTGGACTCTCTCAAGCAGGTAGATGATCCCTGTTATGTTGGGAGCCATAAGGTGGATACGGTACTCCAGGTGAGGTTTCATGAGAGTGGACCAGAGGGGGAGAATCCCCTCCCTCGACCTGCTGGCCACACTTCTTGTGATGTAGCCTAGGATAGGGTGGGCTTTCTGGGCTGTGAGTGCATGTTGCTGGATCATAGTCAATATTTTCATCCACCAATGCTCCCATGTCTTTCTCTGCAGTCCTGCTCTCCATCCACTCATCACCCAGCTTGTATTTGTGCTTGGGATTGCCCTGACCCATGTGCAGGACCTTGTACTTGGCCTTGTTGAACTTCATGAGGTTTGCACAGGCCCACCTCTCCAGCCTGGCCAGGTCCCTCTGGATTGCACATCCTTGCCCTCCACCATGTCGACCACACCACACAGCTTGGTGTCATCAGCAAACTTGCTGAGGGTGCACTTGGTCCCACTGTCCATGCTGCCCACAAAGATGTTAAACAGCACCGGTCCTAGTAGCGATCCCTGAGGAACACCACTCATCACTGCTCTCCACTTGGATGTGGAGCCGTTGACCGCAACTCTTTTGAGTCCAAGCATCCGGCCAATTCGTTATCCACTGAGTGGTCCATCCATCAAATCCGTGTCTCTCCAGTTTAGAGACAAGCATGTCATGTGGGACAGTGTCAGATGCTTTGCACAAGTCCAGGTAGATGATGTCCATTGCTCTTCCCTTCTCCACTAATTCTGTAACTCCATTGTAGAAGGCCACCAAATTTGTCAGGCATGATCTGCCCTTAGTGAAGCCATGTTGGCTGTCACCAGTCACCTCCTTATTTTCCGTATGCCCTAGCACAGTTTTCAGGAGGGTGTGCTCTGTGATCTTGCATGATACAGAGGTGAGACTGACTGGCCCATAGTTCCCTGGGTCTTCTTTTTTACCTTTTTAAGAATGGGTATCTTCAGGTTTTTAACTATGGAAAAGCACCTCAGATTATTATTTTTGAAATAATTGCTTCATGTTGAGAGCTGGGAATTCAAAATCAGGTGTGTGTACTGTGTGCCTCATAATCCTGCTGAAGTTCATGGAGGAGGCCCAGTTTGAGGGGACCAAGGCCGCTGTCCAGCTCTCCAGGGATGTCCAGAGGCCCTAGAGGTGAACAGTCCTGGGGAGTCCTGACACCCCACAGTGAGCTTTGCCCTGTGTATCCCTCCGTCTGCCCGGCCCAGTCCCCAGGTTAGGCAGAGCTGTCACCTGTTTGCAACCAGAGGGGGCTGTGGGAAAAGAGGGGAGGGAGAAGTGTATGCTGGGAAAAGAGGAGCAAGGGTGGCCTTCCCTTCCATTTACCACCTCCCACTGCGGCTTCTGGCACAGATGAAGTTCTCTGGGAACAGACCCTGGTTTTTAATGAGGTCAGGCTGAGCGGGAGTTGTATGGGAAGAAGGGTGTAAGAATATTCGGAAGTACTGTGATACTCATTGGTATTGTAGGACAGCTGGTGGTGGTAAAGCATTTTTTTGACGTTATGTGGTGCCATTGCAAGGGCAGAAGAGCCAGTGGGGTCACCATAGATGTCCATGTTGCTGAAGCTCTGTCTGTATACTGGGCATGCATCCTTCATTATTGTCTGAATTACACAGTGCACTTGTTCTCCCCATGCACCTCCTGAGCTGGAAAAGGACACTCTGTGGCTTTGACCAGGGCAATGAATAGTGAAGGCATGGTCAGTATTGATGACAAGATGTCTCTGCAATGAAAGTATCTCTAGGATCAAGGGAATGATTTGTCGTTGTGCTGATGAATAGTGTAAATTTTGTTTTTTTTAGTGAAACTTTTACCTTTATAATCTCCCCCAAAGGTGAGGCAATGTGGAAGAGAAGATGGAGACAGCTTCTCAGTCTTCAGCTGAGATGCTGTGTAGGTGATGTGTTTAGTACCTTTATATTAGTGTTAAACATTGAGGAAAATCTTGATTTGCACACTTACAGAACATATTTTTATAGATTTTTCTCTATCTGTTCTGGTTTTATTTAAATCCTAAGCAGAAGTTTCGACTCTGAAAGTAAAAAACCCACTGGATCAACCCTGAAATTAGGAAGATTAATCAAAAGCTCCTTTTACTGGATTGGTTTTACTTTCTTCCTACTTGCAGTTTCCAGTCATCTTTCTGCCCAGTTTCTGCTTCCTGCCGTTCTTCCTTTACTATGTTTTTGCTCCTAAAATTATGAATATTGCCTGACCAGAGAGAATATTTTTTTGTCTTTGTAACTGTATTTCTTTTACCTGCCTGTCCCCGACTCTTTCTATTTGATTTAGATAAAAATCTGTCTATACCTTGGGGCTGGGAACTGACAGTGTTTGTGCTTGGCTGCTGCAAGGTGTAAAGTGTTAACTTTCTTACTGCAGATCATGAAGAAAAAAGGTTACATGAGCCTTTGTTGTGTTAAAGAAAGTTTTAATGATGTGATCAGAAACTGAAGAGTACCATAAGGCTTTATGTGGATAGGGGAAACCTAAATTTCAGTAGGTTCTGGATCTGCTGGCTTCATAAAGATGCAATGCTCATTGTGATCATTTCTCCTTGAAATAGTTCTGTCATTGTGAGTGACTCCACAGTAAAAAAGTGAAAAAAGGAGGGGAAATGGAGTTTTAACATGTGACTGCAGTAACACATCATCTTGTGGTTAAAAATGACCATTATTCCACTGAAATAATCTGGAAACAATTTTTCTTGCTGGCTTTACTAGAAAGTCAGATGTTTTTCTGAAGTGCATCCTAATTCCCTGAATAGGTAATAAAATTCAAACAATATGTTTATCTAGTTTATTTGAAAATATTAAATATTTTCTAATGGTAGGTAAAGAAATCATTCTGCCACATGTGCAAGGGATGAACTGTCTCTGTCCTGTTTTCTGCAGCCAAGGGTAGTTTCTTCTTAAATTTTAGGGAATATCAATGTGAAAATAAGAAATAGTTTTGTCATATGTTTGGCTCATTGTTTATTTAATTTTCAGGGTTTCGTAATGGGTACACAGATATTCTTGAATGTAACACTCAACAGATACCTTATCAGGTAACTTAACCAGTCAGTTCATCATCTCATTATATCAAACTAAGGTCTTGATATCAAGATTTAACTCTAAGGCTGAACTAGTAAGTAACTGAAAGGCTCAGCTGCTAAGTCTAGATTGAGGATTTCAGAAGTTTGCGCAGGAGGCTTAGAATTTATTTTACTTAAAAGTGGCAAAATTTTCTGGTGTTTATGTTCTCAGGAAAAAAATATTAAACAAAAAGGCTCAAATCCAACTGGATTAACATAAAACTTAACAGGTGTATTTGGACTAAACAAAATGCTCATGAGTAATAAAAGGAAAAAGTAATTTGTCAGCAAAGAATGACTTAGGGGTCAAGATATGCAGGTATAGCATTGCAATTGCAAAAAAATAGGCTATCTAAAGTCTTGCAGAAGAAAGTATAACAAACAGAAAAGTGTTCCTCAGCTGTAAAAGTTAAAAGAAAGCAAGAAGAATGCAAGGGTGACCTCTGTAAGGTTCAAGTGGGATAAAGGATAAAAATTATTTGGCAATGGTCTAAAAACTAAACAGCAATTTGTGAATGATGACAAGGCAGTTAAGGCAAGCTAGATACTGCTTCCCTCTTAGAAGGTACTGCAATGTAGCAGATACTCTAGAAAAGCTTTTTTTCCTTAAATCTTGCAGGGAAGTTGAGAGGTGATGAAGCCCTATTATTGGAGACTGACATTTTGTAAAAACACCTAAGAAGATGCAAAACCAGCTAAGAGGACAAGGGTTCTATTAGCATACCCTCAGCAGTATATGTTGATTAACACTGAAGACTTTTTCAAACCTAGTCTTTTGAAAAATTCCACAGGCTTTGTTTCCTTGTTTTTCCTCTTTAAAAGATTATTTAGGTTGCCTCAAGTTTATTGTGACAAGCTATATGATTTATGAATCTGCATTCTGATATCAGAGCTTTAAACCATGAAATTCAGCATCCTGTCATTGGCAGCAATTACTGCCAGATGCATCAGGATAAAATAAGAATTGCTACTTAGCTGTTTTCACATGCTTCTTCTCTGGCATTTTTGTCTGTGGAACTGTGATGCTGAATTCTGAATAACCCATATGCCCTTAAGAAAGTAATATAAATAGAAAGATTTTTCTAGAGAGATTTACACCACTTGCTTACATGAGAATGAAGCCTTAAGAGTTTTTGGAATGTTTTCCCCTTTCTTGCCTTCTCTTACGGGTTGATACTTTTATGTTTCTGTTGACATCTGCTATAGCCCTTTGACTTACATTTGAAGGCAGTTTTGAGCAATGACTCTCTCACAGCTGTAACAGAATTAAAAGCTTTCTTACAAACCAGTCATGTGCTCTTGTCACCTGAGAGCTTGTCCTTGTAAAACGTAAAGCCAAAGAGCTGCTAAACATAAACAGTTGGCATAATGCATTTCTTCTAATATGTTGACTTTCAAATTTTTACCTGATTTTTTTTCATAGTTCTTGCAAATATTTGTTGCTGCACTTTAATAGGAGAAACTCAGTAATTTTCTTTGCATTTTCTTTCTGCTCCTAGCATGCTAAAGTAAATTTTGTGGCTGATTGTAGAATTCTTTGTTTCGAGAGTGATCTTTGCACATTTCAGGAAAATCAGTTTGCCATATGCCATTTAAAAATTTCTTTTTTATATACACAACTATTAAGACTCAGATTATTTTCCTTTGTTTTTTACCTGTTCTTGACCTGCTGCTTGCTTCAGTCTGTGTCTCATTTAATGACTAAAATTTCAGTGAAGGACAATATAAGAAGAGTATCTTAACACTTCAGCTTCAATCCAGATAATGGACTCATTTGGTCTTAAAATATAATTTTGACCAGGACCTGTTTTTTCTTTGTTTTCTTTTCAGCCCAGTCACTGAAAGAGTTTGCTCGGCTCCTGATTGCTGTTGAAGAGGAGAGGAGACGACTGGTAAGTTTGCTGGCAATAATATGTTTCATTGGACCTCTTTCTATATAAAATGGTACACTTTTTTCCTGTTCTTCCTGAAGTGCTGTTTTTATTTTTTTTATTTGTGCGGTAGATGTTAAGTATTTAATGAGAATCACTTGAAATTTTATAACGCCAGAAATGTGCTTGCACAGACTGCAGCAATTTTTAATGGAGTTTCAGTGACATACTTTTGCATCGATTTAATAACTGTTTTCTCACAACTTCCTCCCTCTCTGCTCCCCACCCCAAAATAACGGCTGTACCTTTGCCGCATCTTGTCTTACTAGTCATAAGGCACAGCAATAAACTGTAAACAAAAAGCTTACAGCGGAAATGTAGATTGATATTGGTATTTATATTTAATTGAATACTTTTCGAGTGTTGTCCAGAGAATGTATACTAGTAATCCTTGAATGTGATAAATAAGTGGTAAGAAGAAAAAACAAATTCATTACCCCTGCGAAACTCTTGCAGAATACTTTATAGATCAGACTTGTCAGATTTGTCCTTTGTGTGGTATTCTTACTTCTTTTGCTTCCATACTGATGAAACTAGAGTATGCTTTCATTTGTATTTTTATTCAGATGTAGCTTTGTTAAAGAAATTTTAAGTGTATTCTTGTACAAATACTTTTAAAAATCCGCATAAGCAATGAAACTACTTTTTTTTTTCATTCTTGGAAATCAATCATGTATAAAGAAGTGAGGTAAGGATTAACCTCAATTGGGGGATTTTTAAATACTGTGAAAGTTTAACTAGCTCAGATCCATCCAATGACTATGTCTGTTATGGTTTTCCTTCCTCTTATGAGTACTTAGGGAGGTGAGGAAAAGAATTTTCTGACTCAGATTGGAACAAATTTATTAATCCAGGAAGAGGTTTACATAAAGTTCTCTTATTCCAAAGTTCTCTTATTCCTAGGAGTATGTAACTGTAGAATTGTCTCCTGCTATTTCTGTTTACATAAATATTCCAGAGTGGCAAAATCAAGGATTTATATTGTACAGTTGCATAGTTAATATCAGCTGAACCTGTAAAAATGCAGAAGTTTTGTTTCATGCTAAGTCTTTTTTCCTGGATAGATGGAAGAGGGAGGTGACTGTTCAGTACTTACAACCTTAACAGATGTTTACTAGTAGTTACTAATTGCTTTGTTAAACAGTGTTTCAAAGTATTGGTTTTCCAGTTTAGCTTGAAGATTATTGTGAGTGAACTAATGGAAAAAGGAAAAGCAATGAATAGGTGAAGGTTTTAGTTTTCAAAACTGGTTACTCTTTCATAGTAAGTATACATGTTTCCCTTTATTTTATCTTTCTTTTTTATTCTTGGAGAAGTCACTCCCTTTTTCACTTTTAGAAGTTCCTGGCCTCTCTGTGGTTTATAATTTGATCTTTCTATACAATATTTTACTTTTATCTTGTAGGAAGGCCATTAGAGTAAAATGGGGAAAATCCATTAATTTTAAGTGAAAAAAAGACTAGTTGGATAGATACAGAATCACAGAATTGTCTAGGTTGGAGAAGACCTTGAAGATCATCCAGTCCTAACACTGGACCGTTCTCACCTACACCATATCCTTCAGCTCTATGTCAGCTCTCCTCTTAAACGCCTCCAGTGATGGGGACTCCACCACCTCCCTGGGCAGCCCATTCCAATGCCCAACAACCCCTTCTGGAAAGAAATGCTTCCTAATATCCAGTCTAAACCTTCCCTGGAGCAACTTGAGTCCCTTCCCTCTTGTCCTTTTGCTTATTACTTGGTTGAAGAGACTCATCCCCAGCTTTCTGCACCCTCCTTTCAGGGAGCTGTAGAGGGCGATGAGGTCTCCCCTCAGCCTCCTCTTCTCCAGACTAAACCCCCCCAGTTCCCTCAGCCGCTCCCCGTATGACCTGTGCTCCAGACCCTGCACCAGCTCCGTTGCCCTTCTCTGGACACGCTCGAGTCATTCTTTTTGTAGTGAGGGGCCCAAAACTGAACCCAGGAATCGAGGGGCGGCCTCACCAGTGCCGAGTACAGGGGTCAGATCCCTTCCCTGTCCCTGCTGGCCACGCTAATGCTGACACAAGCCAGGATGCCACTGGCCTTCTTGGCCCCCTGGGCACACTGCTGGCTCCTGTTCAGCCGGCTGTCAATCAACACCCCCAGGTCCCTCTCTGATTGGCTTCAGGGGGAATACGTGGATTGTATAGCTGAGCTGGTGGATCCCAATGCAGGGTCAGAAACTTGGTTAAGATTTCAGTCTCATGGAAAAGTATTTTACAAATGGCTGTAAGTTTAGTAGAATGCAATCATCAAATTATTATAAACAAAGTGGCACATAATATTCATTTGTGGAGAAGCTGGTCTTGATTGGAAATAATTTGCATCCAGCTTTTCTCTGAGTTTGAAATAGCCCCACTCTGTTTCTTATTCTCCAGTTCTCTTACTGCAGTTTTCTGCATGCCATCATAGAAGCCAGGGGTCCCTATGAGGATCAGTGTGCCATGTTATATGCTGAACAGATTGCTAGTAGTAAGAGTTTTCTGCTCGATAAACTTTTAATTTAGCTATGAATTCTTCAAAACTTTTTTTGCTTATTTCTGAGGAATGATGGACCATTATGCGTACGTTTTCATTCCTCTGCTGGAAGCACTTCAAGCCAGCCAATCTGCAAATGAATGACGATTTTACTAAAAGATTTCAGCAGACTGGAAAGCTTGAGACAGGTCATGCTGGTCTTTAAGAATTTTGTTTCCTTTACTTCTTCATTAAAAGAGAAATCTTGGGGTTTTTTGTTTTTTGTTTTTGTTTTTTTTTTTAAAAAAAAGCTTGTTCTATTTGACATTTTGTAGAAGGCTTGAAGAAAAAGTTCTGTACTGTTGAGACTTCATCATACCATTACAACTTCCTTTTTGTTCTTGAAGTGTGTGACAGTTCAAGACAGTATTGTATCAGCAAATGCTGAATGTACAGGAATATGGAATGACAGATGTTAATTTTACTTAACCAGCTAATTATCTTGTTTCCCTGCCTTGAATTTTATGTTATTAATTTATGAGCATACACGAGTTCATCAATCTGAATTGAATTGGGAAAGTATATATTCATATCACCAATTTATTTCTCATCTAATGCCTATTAAATTCTTCATAAGTGAAAATATTTTTTTTGTTTTGGTGAATCCAGAGTTTTGGAGTGCTTGCCCACTGAATGTATAAATTGTTTCCAGTGGTCAAGGAAATAGTTTGAGAGGTGCATAGCAAGTCTTCTGTCTTTCTTGCATAAAGAACCGAAAGGAGTTCATTTTTGTTTTCTTTAGTAGAAGCTAATGAAACAAGATATGAACAGTATCACTGGGAAAAACACTGAAGTGCAGGGTTAAGTAAAACTGTATATCACATAAATATACTGTTGTCTAAAGATTTGAACCCATTATTATTGGCAGCAGTAATAACATTATGATTATTGTAATTCAGTTTCTTTTATCCTTGTCTTTTATTTCATGATGCTAAAAATTGAGTAGTAGTCTCAGATAAACCAGAGGTCATGCATCAAGCATTTCCCCTGAAAAACCCACGAAAGGAAAAAGTAATTCATAAGACACCTTTTTTATGATATGCAGCCTTATGTTTGGTATCTATCATTTCATGGTGATGTTAATTTAATGATGCTGTTGGTAAATGGTTCATTTAAAAAAAAACCAACCAAAGAGCTCTGACTCTTGGGTTTTACAACTAGAGTGAGTAGGATAAAAAGATTCGTCCTCATTGCCTTTCCAATGATTTCAGCAAGAAACCACCAGGGAATGTTAAATAATGACCTCTATTTCCCAGTGATTATTAGGGAACAGTAAAGATGCTGCAATTTAATTTCATATGAATATTTAGATCTCTGTCAAGGGAACTTACTTAAAATAATACTTTCCTTCTGCTCTTGCTGAATTTACATTGTTTCTGTTAAGTGATATACTATTTTATTTTAGAAATTCATGCATTATTTATGTTTCTGACTCGTTTGATATTGTTAGTAAACTTTTCAACAAACAGAAAATGTACTGGGAATGATATAAAATACTAATTCCTTTTCCTTTCATAGGATTATGCATTGTTGACATAAGAATAGGTGAATTGGTTCGTGCTACTGATTTCCTCTTCCTTGAGATCACCTATCAGTTTGAAGCATTGAATGTGTTCTCTTGTGTGTTACCATGAATGTAACTCCCTGATTATTTTTGAAAGTTTACTATGTCCCAAAATGAAATGGGGTTTCTTAAATGTTACATTCCTTGCTATTTACCCAAGTTTTTATGGGTTGCTGGCAAATGATGAACGGTCCCAGAGCTCTGCTCTCTGGCATCATGAATCAGTGAGAAGTGTATGGTTACTTTCAATTCCTGACCAATATTAAGTACTTCAGGGGATACTGCAAAAGTTCTGAAGTGGATAACTGTGCACTATGTTCCTTGAATATTTTTGTTTGTAACATCTGTCTCTTTGTATTTCATAATCTTCATGCTTCAGAGAGTATCTCATTGTTGTGGACTTTTTATATTAACTGGATGTTCTCATTGTGGGTATTTGCCCTCATACAAGGGGTCTGATGCCATCTGCTTCCAAGGGAAGCATCAAAATACTCAGTTTCAAAAGCTGAACTTGAAGAAAAATTAATGAACTGTTAAAACCAGCTATCCATGGAATGGTACATAAAATCAGATACCAAAGGACACAGCATGTTATTGAGCGGTATTAACCTTTTCCCTATAATGTGAAGTGGGTTACAGATTACATAAGAAGCATAAGCAGTCTTCTATTCACAGGTGCTGTTTATTACTCAGTTTATAAAAGGTAGAAATCATAAAATCACGTATGCTAGCACCCTGAGACCGCAGAGCACACACCTCGCATTTTGTTTCACATGGGCTTCCTCTTAAAATGACAAAAAATAGTGTATGGTGATGTTTTCATATACTTGGTTAAGTACTTTCAGTGCTCTTCACCTCT